ATTAACTGCCAGCCAAGATGGTGGCCAGCAGCCAGGCAGCTTGAAGCTAACATGAGGCTTGCTTGCTTTAGTGACAGAGGACTCCAACGTTCCCCGCCTGCCGCTGCTGGGCTCTGAGCTGCTAAGAAACATTGTTACAAATATAGAAGCTAAACAAAACCCCAGAAACCTGTTTTCAGTCAGCCGGGATCTCAGAGCTGGAGTCGCAACAAAGTTTCAAATACAGAAAGTAAACAAAGCCCAGAAACCTGCTTTCAGCAGCGAGGTCTCACAGCAAAAGCCGGCTCTCAGCTCCAGTGACAGCCATAAATCCAAGAATGAAAAAAAAAAAAGGAAAAAAGGAGCGGTTGGGAGCTTCAGTCACGCGCCAGCCTGAAAACGGCCCTCAGCCCCTCACCCAGACTGGCCAGGCACCCCAGTGGGGACCCCCACCCTGAAGGGGGTGTGACCAGCTACACACAGCCATCATCCCCTCAACCAGGCTGGCCAGGCACCCAAGCGGGACCCCCACCCTGATCCAGGACACCCTTCAGGGCAAACCAGCCGGCACCCACCCATGCACCAGGCCTCTATCCTATATAATAAAAGGGTAATATGCTTCCCAGCACCAGGATCAGCGGAGCCGCGAGGCCTCCCGGCACCGGGATCAGCATGACAGGGGGTAGCGCCCAAACCCCCTGATTGCCCTGCGGCTCTGTGTGTGACAGGGTGCAGCGCCCCAACCCCCTGATCGGCCCTGCTCTGTGTGTGACAAGGTGCGACCCCCCAATCCCCCCATGGGCCCTGCTCTGTGGGTGACAGGGTGGAGCCGCAACCTCCCCATCGGCCCTGCCCTGAGTGTGACAGGGGGGAGTGCCCCAACCCCCTGATTGGCCCTGCTCTGTGCGTGACAGGGGGTGGCGCCGCAACTTCCCCATCGACCCTGCCCTGAGTGTGACAGGGGGCAGCACCCCAACCCCCCAATCGGCCCTACCCTGAGCGTGACTGAGGGTGGCATTGCAACCTCCCCATCGGCCCTGCTCTGAGCCCGACTAGGGGCTGCACCTAGGGATTGGGCCTGCCCTCTGCCACCAGGGAGCAGGCCTAAGCCAGCAGGTCGTTATCTCCCGAGGGGTCCCAGACTGCAAGAGGGCACAGGCTGGGCTGAGGGACCGCCCCCCCCCCCTTCCCGGCCAGTGCACAAATTTTTGTGCACCGGGCCTCTAGTATGATATATAATATATATGATTTCATTTTATTTTTTTGTTAATCCTCACCTGAAGATATTTTCCATTCATTTTTTATGGAAGAGAGGTGGAGAGACAAGAGAAAGAAACATCAGTGTGAGAGAGACACATTGATTGTTTGCCTTCCACATGCGCCCCAACCTGGGTTGGGGATTGAGCCTGCAACTGAGGTACATGCCCTTGATGGGAATCGAACCTGGGACCCTTCTGAGCCAAACCAGCCAGGGCACTCAAAATACATTTTTTAAAAAGTATATTTCTTTATTGACTTCAGAGAGGAAGGGAGGAGAGAGAGATAGAAACATCAATGATGAGAGAGAATCATTGATTCTCTGCCTCCTGCACACCCCGCACTGGGGAACGAGCCCGCAACCCAGGCATGTGCCCTTGGCCAGAATAGAACCTGGGACCCTTCAGTCTGCAGGCTGACGCTCTATCCACTGAACCAAGTTGGCCAGGGCTCAAAATATATTTTAAAAAAAGAAGCAAGGCAAACAAATCTATTTAAACTACATCTGGTGTAGAGGGCAGATGGCTTCTCAGCCAGCCTGGAAAGCATGGTCAGTGGGGATTCAGTATTTTATACTTTCTATCTATATGTTTTAAAACTCCTCTGCTGGATATCTTGGGACAGATTAACTCTTAAGGTCTCTCCCTTTACTTTGTTATGTCTTTCCTAGAATTTATGAGAAGTACCAGGTGATTTTATCTTTTTAAAAAAAGATATTACAGCTTTTTAAAAATGTTTTTATTGATTTCAGAGAGGAAGGGAGAGATAGAAACATCAATGAGGAGAGAATCATTGATTGGCTGCCGCCTACATGCCCTCCACTGGGGATCGAGCCCGCAACCCGGGAATTGAACCATGACCTCCATAGGTCGATGCTCAACCACTGAGCCACACCTTCCGGGCTGAATGTATGTTATTGATGCAGCTTGTAAGTTTGCCCTTGTTTTCCTCTTTCATTTCCTGAAATCCATTTTGATCTGGCTTTATAATGTTTGCAACTTAAAGTTAATAAAAATCCCCATTGCTTAAAAAAAGGAAATCTAAAATTCAGGCTTTCGTGAAATGTATGCATTCTTGCCTGGTCTCGTTATTCCACGTTGTTAGATTCACTCTCTGTGCTTGGTTCTCTCCACTGTTGGGGATCTGTCAGCTGACACCTGAGGAGTCACTCGGGGCAGCGTGGGGAGCTGCCATTTTCATGGTGAGGGCACTGCAGCTGGAATGTTTAAAAAATGAAAACACCACGGAAACGCACCGGCAAGTGAGACAACGGGTATCACCTGGCCTCGCTGTACGAGGCCTCACTACCGGGACGGGTTGGTTGGTGGTGGCACCGGCAGGGTGCGCGCGTCTCAGGAGGACCCGGCGGGGCCGAGCCGTCGCGGAAGCATTCGTAAGCCCGGCCCGCTGAGGCCACCGCAGAAGAGCGGCGTTGAAGCGGGACCCCCTACTCAGAGGCACCTCCCTGGTCCCCGCCTCGGCGGCCGCGCGCGGCCAGTCCCAGTCCCTGTCCGCGAGGGGGAGCCGGCGAGCCGGCGGCCGGGGCACGGCGCGGCGTCCAATGTCCGCAGAGCCAGTCGGCTCCCGGCGAGGGGACCTGTGGTTTAGGGCCATTCCCGTGGTTTAGGGCCATTCCCGTGCCCTCGCCATGAAAATGGCAGCTCCCCACGCGGCCCCGAGTGTCTCCACAGATGTCAGCTGACACATTCCCAACAGCGAAGTGAAATCCAACAAGCCGGAATCACCAGACCAGGAAAGATGCACGCATTTAATGAAACCCTGACCTCAACACTCCCCCAGCTCCTCCGCTCCGGGTGGGTTCGTGTCTGCATTCATAGTGGCGCGCGCGGAGGGAGGGAGTGGGGGGAGAACCCGCCCCCGTGGGCCCCCAGCTGGCGCTGCACCGCGAGCCGCACCGGGGTGAGCGCCCGCACCGGGGTGAGCGACCACGTGCCGAGGGCGCAAGTGCTCCAGTCACAGCCGCTCCTGTCGCAGCACCAGCTGGCCCATATGCTCGCGCCACTTCCACCACCCAAGGCACCACAGCAGCCGCCCTCATCTGTGCTGGGCGGTAGGGCAGCAAAAGCAGGGGCTTCTGTGTCCCAGCTAAGGGAGCCTTGCTGAGAGGCAGCCCTGGAGTAGCCTATGCAAACGCCAATATAGTCACAGGGACTGCGGGCCAACTCACAAGGTGGGGCCTTTACTACCTGGCCTCCTGCGAGCCCTACACCTGCTTCCTTGCCAGTCCTTCTGCTCCTCTGGGGGGCGGGGGGAGGAGTCAGGTCCGGCGCCAGCCGCTGTGCTCTCCGGTGTTTCTTTCCCTGCTTCCCACTTGAGCCGTTTTCTCTGTCCCATCTTCTTTTTCCAGCCTGAGCCTCCTCTGCCTCTCCTGCCTGGGTACTTTTGATGTCCTGCCTCTTCAGGTAGCGATCACAGATGTGGCCTCTGTCACATCCCACCTGCCCTTCCTGCCTCACGGTTCCACTTAGCTACTAGCCTCCCCTTGGTCTTCGGACAGATTGGAAATTTGCAGGCAGAAATGGCGGCGGAGCTAGCTCAACTGAAGGACATCGCTACCCAGAGGCATACAGCCTGCTGCCTTAGAGAGATGGCCCGCTCTCATGAAGGTGGGTGGGAGCCTTCAGCATGGCTGCCCACCTGTCCCAGACCCGGTGCCTCTCAGGACAGTTCCTCCAGCCAGGCAGGGACATTAGCCCTGGGACCTAGGCTAAGACCACACGGTCCCCAAAGCCTGGCACAGCCAAGTGGAGCACGTGAATCAAGCTCACACTCCAGAGGCAACAGGGCAGGGTGGGGACTTCCTGGGCCAGCAGTGTTCTGCTGTGACTGGTGAAATAAAGGAGGCATGTATCTGGGTTCCGGAGGCCAAGAGCCTCCTTTATCAAACCTGAGGCCACTGTCTCTGCAAACCTGAGAAGTGACCTGAGAGTCAGGCCCCTTCCAAGTCCCTAGGCCTCGCTCTTCCCAAGGCAGCTCAGCAATGCTGCATGCACAGCCCTCTTGCTTTTGTACTAGAAGGCAAGACTCTTTGGGCCTGTATACTTGCTTCTCCTGGTTAATAGACAGAACACGGACCAGGGTCACATACCGTATGCCTGCTGGTCCATACCTCCAGTGACCCGGTCCTCTCCCTGCACTCACAGCCTGCTCTGCTCCAGTGAGAGTGGGCGTCACACTCCACAGGGAAGGGCTGCAAAGTGCCCAAGCAAATTGGGAAACCTGGGTCCTTGAGGTGGGGGCTGCAGAGAGGAAGAGGCTGGTGCCTGGGTTGCACCGGCAGAGTGCCTACAAAGGAATCGATTCCTGCGCCTCCGGTGCAAAACCACTCACTCTGCCCACACGTCCATGTAAAATACCGAGTTTATTCTGTCCTGTAGGAAGACTACTACAGCCTTACCGCCCTGGAGTCCAGTCCTGCCTGTGCCCTGACTCTCCCTCACCCTAGTTTCCAGGAACCAGGCGGCTGGCCGTTCTCCTCTTCAGTCCCGTGGTCGCTGCTTAGGAAGCAGGGTCAGAGCCTGAGACACTCGAGGGCCTGCACCCATCGCTGGCCCCCAGGAGCGCAGGGGGAGAGACACTGGAACTGGGCTCCGCTGGGCTGAGTTGCTCTGATGGGGCCAGGAGCAGTGCTGGGTGGCTCTTGCTGCAGTGAGCTGCGACGCTGTCCGGCTTCTCAAAGCACTTGCCACAGACTTCGCAGGGGAAGCGCAGGGTGGCTGCTGTCTCTGCGTGCTTGCGCCGGTGCCAGTTCAGGGAGGCCTTCTGGCGGCAGGTGAAGCCGCAGATCTCACACCTGTGCCCAGGTCAGCAGAGGGGAGTTAGGGGCCTCAGCCCAGTTGCCTGAGTGTCCTGCCGGCCCCCTCCTCCAACACCCCACACTCACTGCAGCGGCTTCTCTCCAGTGTGGATGCGCCGGTGGATGACCAGGTTGCTGCTGGTGCGGAAAGACCGGGCGCAGAATTCACAGATGTAGTCCCGGGTGTCTGCGGGGGCATGGGGACACCCCAGCATCCATCTCCAGGCTGTGGCCCTTCCTCATCCCATCCACCAGCCCCCACAGGAGTACTGTCCCCACTCAGCCTACACATCACATCCATTCTGGCCCCCAACAACGGCCTGTGGCTGTCAGCAATCCCCTCTCTATTTTTTTTCTGGAACCTACCCTCCCTCCCACCTCCAAGCTTCTCAAGGTGCCCCTTAGACCTGTTGCAACACCACTCTGTATACCCTGCCCTCAGATCACATACACACACCGGCAGCCTTCGACTCCATTACTCCTGTGCTCCATGCAATACTGGCCCCTGGCCTGCTCTCCAGCTATCCTAGCGTCAGTTTGCTTCCTACTTGGCCAGCACTCACTTCTGTTTCGTGACATGACATTCACTGACCTAGCAGCCCATCCTTCTCAACCACCACTTCCATTCCCCATCACCACAATTTCAACCATCCAAGTTCCAGCCACGGACCTGCCTACCATACCCTACCTTGTCACACTGATAATCCAGTGACTCCAGGCTGCCAGTCCAGCGCCCAAAGCCGTTCCCAGTCCCTCCTTGCCCAGCGCAGTTTCTAGGACAGAGTGACTTCTGTCACTCACACCAATCTGTCACTCACTTCTGTCCCTCTCTCCCTCAGCTGTACCTGCTAGGCTAAAACCAATGCAGCATAAACACAACTCTGGGCCTGCCCCTGTATACTGAGGGGGCAGAAATCCCTCCCCTCAGCCTCCACGTTCATCCACCACAGATCTCAAGCGCCGCCACACGCCTCTGCATTTCCCTGGTCAGCTCACTCGCCCCTCTCTGGAGTCCAGAAGGCCATGTTCACACCACCTCCTCTCCAGCGGCGCCATTCAGCACGGAGCTTGTTTTGAAGTCATCAATAAGAGGGAAGCCCAGAGAGGATGCTCATATCTTGCCCCCAAATCCAGCAGCCAGAACGCTTCTGTGCCCACATATGTGACTACCACCTGCTCCTCTGTGGCCACCTTCTAACTGTGCCTGATACCCCCTCACTGACCAGAGGGTGCCCACCCCAGTCAGTAAGTCTTTTCTCTCTGAGGGATCGGTCCCATTGTGTGCCCCAAGCTTACAGCCCTCTTAGCTAAGACCCCAATTCTCTGCTTGTTTTCTCAGCAATACCGAGTTGTTCATACCGTCTCCACTTCCTTAGCCCCTTCCCGCCTGGAACTCACTCCATTCTGGCTGTCATTTCCCTTGTCACCCACCATCTAGTCAAGGATGGCTTCCCACTAGGTCTGGTGGCCTGTCCTCACCCTCTTACTCGGCCCTGTGCACCGGCACGCCCCTCCCCAGCACTTTGCTTGGTCCTTCGATACCAGTTTCCTCGCCTGCCTCGCTGGCTCCTCTGCAGCTGCCCTTCCCACCTGCCGGCTCCCGCCTCTTCACCTGGCTCAGTCCCTCCATGTGGGGTTATGCCACCCACAGCTCCAAAACCACCCGCGTGCTCATGACAAACATACTTTTTCTACCCGTACCCCCAAACTCCGGATTCACATCCTCTGGGATACCCATTATATGCCCCAAATAAAATGTCCCTTTCTTACAGCACCTGTCTCTGTTTCAAGAAGCCATATTACCTTCTGCCCAGTTGTTCAGGCTAGAATCCTCCAAGTCACCCAACTCCTCCCGCCCCTCCCACCTGCGCCTAATGTGTCCTTCCCATTGGCAGCCCTTCTGGTTCCACTCTGTCGGCTTCCAGACCACCATCACTGCGCCCTGCACGTTCCTGCCGCCCCCTACTCCACGTGGCAGCCACAGCTCTTTTTGTTGTTTTAATTCCTCACCCAAGGGTATTTTCCCATGGATTTTTAGGCAGAGTGGAAGGGAAAGGGAGAGACAGAAACACCGATGTGAGAGAGACACATCGATTGGTTGCCTCCCACATGCCCCTGACCAGGGCCTGGTGCCTGCAACCAAGGTATGTGCCCTTCACTGGAATCAAACCCGGGACCCTTCAGTCTGCAGGCCGACGCTCTATCCACTGAGCCAAACTGACTAGGGCCACAGCTCTCCTTTTCAAGTCAGCTGTGTCCCTTCACTGCTCAAGACCCTGAGGTGGAATCCATCTCATCTGCCCAGGAGCCAAGCCATCCTCATGGTAGTCTTGGGGCCCCCACCACCTATCTGTCTTCTCATCCTTCCACGCGCTGCTCATAGAGATGGACACGTCTCCCTTTCTCCTTTCACTGAGGTCTTTGCTCAAGGCACCTTCCCTCTCTACACGCGCTCCTCACTTCCATGCTTTCACTTCTTCCGTGCTCTGTATCACGGGAGTGGACAGCTTCGGTGAGGACTGCCTGCTTTGCTCACTGAGGCGTCCCAGCACCTACAACAGTCTCAAGCAGGTACGTGCTCAACACAGGGAATGCATGCTGAGTGTGCGAGTGAGTCACCTAGAGAGTGACAGGAACTGCAGAGAGCTGACGGGCCCCATGGGGGAGGTGAAGGGACTCACAGATGGGAAGGTAAAGGATCTCCAAGGGAAGTGAACGGTCCCATAGGAGGACATGCTAGACCACAGGTGGAGGTAAAGGGATCCAGAGGGGGAAACGAGGAGGCATTCCCCCCACTGACCACTGTGCAGCTTCACATGCTCCTTCAGGTGTTTCTTGAAGTTGAAGGACTTTCCACAGGCCGGCTCTGGGCAGGAGAAGGACTTCTGGTGGATGTGCTGGTACTTCTTATGGTGCTACGGAAGGAGGGGGATGGTCTCCTCAGGGAGACCCCAGAGCCGACCCACCGGACAGGCTCCTCTGCCGAAAACCGTCACCCTGGCTCACATCACCTGCACATGAGTGTCCCTCCCCTCCCCTCCCCCCGACCACAAAATGCCCTCATCTTATTGTAGCCTTGACTTCTATGATCTCACCTCCTTGCCACAACTTCCCCTTGTAAAGCCCAGGTCCCCAACTATGAACGTGCTGTCTGCTGGGGATGGGAAAGACTGTAGGGGCATGATTGTCCTCTTCACGGTCAATATTCAAGTACAACATCACCCAGATGGCCTGCTTTTCAGTAAGAGATCACCAGATATATGCTACACGATTTTCTCTGACGTCTGTTTTGGACACACATACTCTCAACTCTTAAGGGTAGTGTGCACTTCTGGAATACATTTCTCTTCCTATGTGACGCAGCTTCACACCCCGTCTCATTAAATCCCATGGGCTTCCCCCTCCAAAATCCCACATTCCTTCCTTTTTCTGATTTAATTTCATTTATTTTTCCATCACTATTTATCCCCTCTATGCCCTCTTCCACTCCACCACCCCCCGCACGCCCCCAGGGACCCCACTGTTGTCCATGTACATGAATTCTCTCGCTTTATTCTTTGTCCACTTTCTGAGTTAAACTGCCGTTGGGGCTGCTTCCGTCTCCTCCTTGAACAGGCTCAGTGTATCCGAGCAGCCCTGCTGAATGTCCACAGCCCAGAGCTTCGCTGCCACTTGGGGACTCTCCCCCTCTACTTGCTCCAGGTACATCCAAGCCTCACCAGCCCTGTGTGAGCCCTCCTCAGGCCCCAGACTGCCCTGAGGGCTCTGGCTGAGTGTCGGGGTGGGCCCTGCCCTTTCTGTGCTTCAAACTTCTCCTGAATATGAGGACAAAACTCAGAGACCCCAGCACTATTACGCACTAGCTGAGGAGCCTTGGACAGAGTTTAACCATGTGAATCTTGGCTTCCTGGTTTGCAAAGTGGGAACAGTATTAGCATCTACTCCCTAAGGACATTTCGAAGATCGTCCCTTTCGATCTTCGAAACGTCAAGTGCTTATAATAGTCGCTATCACCCAGAGAACCTGAGGATGCTATCGTCATCTCCTGTGGTCCCTGGAGGCTATGCGACAAGCAGTAGTGGGCAGGGGTAGTGTGTCCAAGGCTGGGTTTTCTGCCTTCCCTATCAGTCACCTGGCTTAGTGATTACGAACTGCAGGTAAGCTCTGCATGTCCACCCAACCCTTCTTTTCCTGACTTCCAATCCCCCCGCACTCCAGGTTCCTTTGCCTCAACTTCTCTTTCAGCCCTTCTCCACCGAGGCCACATGGAACCCAACCTGTGCCCTTCACATCCTCACATTCAAATACTGGCGGTTGGAGAAGATCCTCCCACAGCCAGGGTAGTCACAAGGCAGCAGCTCCTTTTTGGCAGCTTTCCTGGGGGAGCAGAATAGGGAGGAGCATGAAGACTCCTGCAGGCTCTCCTCTCAGCCCCTTCCAGAACCCTCCCCCAGCCTTACCTAATTCTCTTGGGGCCAATCTGTGCACTGTCCTCATCCCAGGCTACCGCCAGAGCAGACTGGACCTGACTCCCAGGGCTACGAGCAGCAAAGAGGGAGCAGAGGGCCTCAGGGAAGGGCCATGTCCCAGGGCACCCTGCCTCCGTCTCAGCCAGTCGGTTACCTGGCCAGGGCCTCAGTTTGCTGGGCCACCGGAGGGGTCTGGCGGAGCTCCGGTTTCCCCTCATCTTCTACAGACAGGGGAGCTCCAGAACCCAGCGGCGATGCTGATGAGAGTGGCACAGCAAGAGAAGTGGGGGCAGCTGCAGGAGCCAGAGGTGTCTCTCCTTCCTCAAGTGCATGGGTGACAGGGGAAGGGTGCGGCCTGGGGGCATCTGGCTCACAGCTGAAAGAGTGAAGAGGAGGACATTAACTCCTGGGCCCTCAGCCAGCCACAGCCCCACCCCAGCCCCGAAACTGAGATGATCCCAAACTCAGAACAACTCCACCCAAGCCTCTACTCCTATCTGCATTCGGCCTTCATTCTCCCTTGAAGCCTAACTTAACCCCTTTCCACCCAATTCCAAGCCTCCAGTTCTTTGTGCCCTTCCCACCAAGTCCGCAAAGCTCTTCACCCTGGTCGGCTGCCCCCCCTCCTGCCCTGCTGACTGTCCTCCCTCAGCCCCAACTTGCTTGTCTGAGGAGGAGCTGTAGGTCCATGGGCTGGCATCACTGAGCATCTCCTCTTCACTCTCATCTTCATCCTCCCCCTCGTCTCCTGGGGGCAGGAAGGACTCCGGTGGGGGTCCCATTCCCCTGCAGGGGCAAAGAAGGCAAGCCTGAGGTTCTGATCCCTCACCCCACTGCCCACCCATCTAGCTTGCCCCTCCTTCACCCAGCCTCACCTGGGCAACCTCGCCTCCTGAGTCCTCTCCTCACGTTCAGATTCCAAACCTGTTGGCACAGGTGGGGTTAAAGGGGAAGAAACTCTGGCCAAAGGGATGAGGGCAGGTGGGCTCTGAGGTCTGAATTCATGGGAGGACTCTTAGGGAGGGGAAGAGGCTACTACAGTGGGAAAGGGTATTTTATTTTAAAGATGACACATTCACATGGTCAAAAACAGCACACACAAGTCTAAAAAGGTACATTGCGAAAAGTCTCCTTTCCAATACTGCCCCCTAGTGGCCTAGCTCTCCCCACAGGCAATCTGGTCTCACTTGCCTTCCCAGAGAGATTTCATTCTTTCAAAAGTGCTTGCCCCCCCCTTATTTTCCCACCAAAACACATGCCATACATCCTATTATGCACTTTCCCTTTTACACCTAAGCCTCTATTTAAGGACATATTCCCTGGACAGCAAAGTCCATTGAGAACAGATCATTTTTAGAGCCAAAGGCCCTGAGCTCCAGAGGGAAACCCTTCTCCCTTCCTATTCTCCACAGCTCTTCCCGCCCCGCCTACCTGCAGGCTCCTGCCCACCCCTGGCCTCTGGGCACCAGCTTCTCTGGGAAGGACTTGGAAGGAGGGCTGGCTTGGGCTCCGCTGGAGGTGTGGGGCCTGAGGAGGGGCCCCAGGAGAAGGTGTGGCCCGCGGAGCACTCCCACACAAGCCCTCCATCTCGGCCCCCGGGCCCCCGCAGCCCGGGCACCAGGCTGCACTCTTGGCTGTGGGCATGAGATAGGAGCACCAGATACTGCAGACCCTTGGGGGGCAAAGGCTTAGGACCTAAAGGGGTGAAGGTGACAGTCAGAGCCTGTCAGACAGCTGGGGTGCCCCCTCTTCTCACCATGGAGCGCCACACCCAGACAGCCTGGCCGGGTAACACCCTGGGCAGGGCAGCCCTGGTCCCTTCCAGCTTACCGATCCTCAGAGCCCAGGCAGCGAGGTCCTGAGAAGCTGCTCCCTTCCCCGCGGGCTGCGCTCACCTCACTGCCTGGGCTCCCCAACGCCTTACCTCTCCCCAACTCCCACAGGCCCCCTCTGATCCATCCCCTTAGGGAGTCTTCCTGGGTCGCACCCTCGCTGCTGCCCCGCTTCCCCCTACGGCCCCTGAGCCCCTTCCCCCAGCTGCTGCCTACCCACCTGCACAGAGCACACAGCCCGAAGAAGTGTACCTGCCAGAGGACAAGGGGCAGGTCAGGCCGGGCCCAGGCGGACCAGTGTCCTCAACTAGGGGCACTCGCACCCTCAGGGGGGCGACTCCAAGGGCCCTGTGCACGGGGGCGACGCCAAGGGCGCTGTGCACGGGGGCGACTCCAAGGGCCCTGTGCACGGGGGCGAGGGGGGTGGGCCGGACCCTGGGAGGCCACCATCACTCAGTCCATACCGGACCGCTGAGGTGAGAAACGGGCCAGCACTCGGGGTGAGGGTGGGGACTCCGGGTGCCCTAACCGGTCCAGCAGGAACTTGGCGAGCTGCGAGTGCAGGGAGAAGCCCAGCTGCTCCTTGAGGAGGCACCACTGCTCCATGTGGCCGCCCAGGCGGATGCGACACTTGCTGCGGCGCGCGTCCAGCTGCCGCCGCTTCTCCCGCCGCCGGTGGGAGGCGTCGGCCTCTGCCGGGGAGGCGGCCATGGGCCCGGGCCCTGCAAGGCAGAGGACGCGCGTGGGCCGGCCGGACCCGCCGCTCGCCGGCCGGCCTCCGCGGGGGATGGGCAGGACCAAACCGTTGCCATAGCGCTCGCTGCAGTCGGCGGGAATAGGGGACCGACCACCGCGGGGCAGGAACGGCGGGCGGGCGTGATTCTTCCACGGGAGCTCCTCCCGGGAGGGGAGCCGGGTGGGAAACAGCTTCAACTGCAAGGACGCGTCCTGGGGGCCGGGGGCCGGGGCCCGCCCCACCCGGTCTCGGGCCGCAGCGCTTAACGCGTACAGTGAGCGCACCGGGCACCGCACAGGCCATCCCGGGGCCGCCTCGAGCGCCCGCCCGGCCCGGCCTTACCAGCTTCCCACGGCGCCTGCGCCGCCGCCAAGCGCGGGCGGGACAGCGGTGGAGGGACGGGGCCCACCTTCCGTGCCCGCCGCCGTTTCTCCTTTAAGAGCAGCCCGTGCCCTGGCTCCTGAGTGGCCCCCGCGGAACTGGGCGGCCGCGGAGGAAGGGGCGGGCACGACGCGCGCCTGCGCACTGCCGCCCGCTGGCCGCCCGCCGCCCAGGCGCGCACGCGCGTAGTGCGGGGCGGGCGGGGTCGGCGGAGAAGGGGTCTGTCTCTGCGGGGCGCACCTGCGGCGGGTTTCCGAAGCCTTGGCGGAACGTGCGCGGACCCAGCCCTCAGCCTGCACCCCCCGCCCCCAGGTCCTGGTTTGCACTTCCGCTTCAGTTCCGCCTCCCCTGTTGCCACCAACGAACGCGAGCTGCAGAGTCACTGCCGTTCTTCCTACAACGGTCCAGCGGAGCTTTTCCCGCCGCCAAGCCGGGAACGCGTTCTCAAGGCCGCTGGCGGCGCCACGTGGCCAAGTGCAGTGGTCCGTTCTCTGACGCTCGCGCTTGGAGCGGCACCTGGCGATGCTGCGCTGCCACCTCCTGCGGCTCTTCGCTTTGGCTCCTTTCCCTGGTTGGACCCTCTGCGGTCCCACTGAAACAGATTGTGTCCCTGGCTCAGGCCCTGGACCAAGTCTTCTCTCTTCTTGGGCTATCGAATTGGTCGCGTGGCTTTCAATAAATACAACGGATGACTCCCAGATTTCTATTTCCAACCTAGCCTTCTTTTGGCTCCATACTCATAGCCAGTTGCCCGCTTGACTGTCCATATGAACTTCGCATGATACATACTACTTGATATGTTCTCACAGACGACTCTGGCCAACACACAACACCTAATCATTCTTACCTCCCCCGGCCCCTTGCACACCCACTTGCACACAAAAACCTAGAACATGGGCCTGAGCTGGGTCACCTCACACAGGATCTGGTCCAAGGGGTCCCTCTTTGCCACGTGAGCACCTAAAACACAAGGTTATCTCATGACTAGGTCTAGGCAGCACCCCTGCTCTCAGATTTCCGAGGGCGAATCTGACTGCTGCCTCCCTTCTAGTCATTCTTGCCCCCTCCCCAAGCTGTGCTTCCTGCCCAGGTGTCCCTGGGCATAGGTGTACATAGGGATACCTGCTTGTGGACTATCGTGGACTTACTGAGGCAAGATAGTAAGAAGCTAGGAAAATTCCTGGGCAAGTAGGATGGGGAAACTGAGACATAATTAAACAAGGCCTAACAATTTTCCCGATTTACAGCCAGGCAGCGAATCATAAGACCTTATCTTCCCTAAACAAGGATACTTGAGAACAAATGGTTAATACCTCTCCCTCCTGCTCAGAGAATAAATAGCTTAAGTCACCTGGTCAGGGAGATAGAGGAGGGACCCAGATAACGCCATGTGTGCCCGCCAAACCCAAGGACGGATGAAGTTGGGAACAAATAACAAAAACCTGGTAAGAGCCGGGCAGACCCAAGATAAAAGTAACACCGTAAACCCAACCAAGGAACCCCACACTCCCCATATACTCATTCTGATGCCGCAGCGCAGAATTAAAAATGCACTTGAGGAGCTGGTGAGCGTTTGCTGGGGACCCTCCACCTAAGAGAGAAAACCCTCAAGACAAAGCAGGCCAGCATGGGCTCTCTCGGGAGCACGCCATGCCCTCCTCAGGCATGAGCTTTTTACTTCCTTTCTCCTAAACTCTAGGGTCCCCAAGGGACTTGCAACCAGGGGAGCAAAGGGCAGCGGCAGGTCATCCCAGGCTCACCCCTGATCCTGTCCCCAAGGTCCTCTTTTTCTCTGATGTCCCAGTGAGCTAAAGCAGCCCCACCCAGGCTCACTTCTGTCACTGCAACCTTCCCTTCCCAGTGAGCCAACAGCAGCCCTGCCCAGGCTGCTTTCCTAGAGCATTTCTAGGGAGCCAGAGCAGAGCACCGCCCACGCTCTCTGCTGCTGCTCCCACCCTAAGTGCCTCCTTTGTTTCACTGTCCCCAGTACATTTAATAAATGTACTCTCCAAATCACCTGGGCTCATGCTGTGAAATCTTTCCTGCACAAAGTCAAGAACCCACATACTACCGGCCGGCTTGAGGCAGACCTGCTCCGGACCTGGTCCCTGTCTGGTAACATTACAGGTGTCAGTCAGTTATCACCCAGGCTGTGGCAGAGACCCATGCACCTGGCCTTGGGTGTGTTGCAGAAGAAGTAAAGGTATTTCCAGAATAAATATCCACGGAAGGAAAAAAAACAAAACATTGGAACTCAGGCAGGGACGTGTTCACGGGCGCTTAGAATCCAAGTTCCTGGACCACTCCTTAAGCCTTAACCTCCCGTGAAGACGAAAATAAAGAGAAACCTGATTTGGTCTCAGTAAAACCTGGCTTTTTGTGGTTGGATGGGTGAGGAGAGCTCAAAGATGGGGTTCCTCTAGTAAAGGGAGTGCCTCTCTTTCCCCTTAGCCCCCCAACCCCTTCCCCAATTCACTATTTCTCCTCACAGTCATTTCACCCCCTGTGCCAGGCCTTTGTACTGCGGCACCTCTGTGCATTCACAGGAAGAGATGAAAGAGGAAGAAGCCAGACTGGCAAGAACGGGGTCTTGACAAAACACTAGTCCCCTAAGTCAGGCCTACTACGCCCTCTACCTTTTCTTCTGCCACATACTGGCGAGCTAGGACTCACCTGGAATTCCCTAAGCTTTCCTCTCATTCTGCTCCACTTCCTGTGTTTATTCTTTTTTTAATATATATGTATATTTTATTGATTTTTTACAGAGAAGAAGGGAGAGAGATAGAGAGTTAGAAACATCGATCAGCTGCCTCCTGCACATCCTAGTGGGGATGTGCCCGCAACCCAGGTACATGCCCTTGGCCGGAATCGAACCTGAGACCTTTCAGTCCACAGGCCGACGCTCTATCCACTGAGCCAAACCAGTTTCGGCCCTGTGTTTATTCTTTCCCTCTCATCTCTATTCTCTCATTCCTGTTCTCTCCATTTACTGTCATTTCTCCCATTTTACATCTAACTATACCCATTTCCTTCCCTTTCTGACCCTCATTGTATATTTTTGACTCACTTTTCTTCCGTTCCTTGTGTCTTCCCTTTTCCTCGCCTCATTCTTTCAGCTTCCTTCCTCTGTACCTAGACAGTTTTACATTTCAGCCAAAAAGGGATCCAGCCTATCTTCTGCCAACTTTCAGCGTCAGGCTTTTAATACAGAATTTGTGAGCCACCAACAGACTAGGTTCTTCCTCCTAATTCTGTTCTTGTTGCATTCCCCTCCTGGCTCACTCAGTCCATTGAGCAGACGGTATTCCGGTGGTTCCCAAAATGACCATCTTCCCTTGCTTGCACCTCCCAGGGCCTGGTGAATCTTGGCCTCCCCAGACGGCAGTTCAGCTGGTGAGAACTGAAACCCCTTCACCAGTGAGTTCTGGGAACATGGCTGTAATTTCCTGGTTGTCAGTCTTCACTTTCCTCTTTCTAGGAGCACCTACACCAGCTTGTAGCTAAACTTCCTGCTTGGAGCCCTGAGCAGAGCCTGCAGTCTTCTGGGTCAGAGCGTTGGGCTTCCTTAGCCTTGGCACCCTTTAGGCTTTCCCCTAAACTCCCAGAGGCTACCCTCCCACCCCTTTGCTGCTAGATCAGAATTCTAATGAGAGATGCTCTACCTGATAGACCTCAGTGGGCTGGACTTGATCACATAGCATCTCTAAGAATCGCAGAAGCTTGCCATAATGGTGTGTAAAAATGGTCCCCATCAGGGTCCCTCCCATCGCCCTATGTGGAATGCCTGGGGAAGGACATAACATGTTAGCAGCCCCAACAGTAAAATAAATGAGAAATGTTTAGTGAGGCTACGATTGGGAAGAACTTTCGTTGTAAGGCCCACTCCTGATTATGCCAACTCTCCCTCTGGGCTTTGAAGACACCCAGCACGATGCCCAAAGACAAATGCCTCCCCTCTGCCCTCTCCGCCAGGAAAATCCAAGTCTGGCTACTGCATGTATTGAGGTGACTACAAGTTTATTAACAGAAGTCTTAATATTCTGAAGGCAATAATTTCAGACTAGAGCAGAACTGAGATCTGGGATGTGAAAGTTGCTGAGGTGAGAAACGGGCCAGCACTCCGGGTGCCCCACCCTCACCCCGATCTCCTTGCCCTGCCCATCCTCTCTCCTCAACCCACTCCCTACTGAGAGTAGGTGGAATGTGAAAGTTTCTTGGTGGCAAGAAGTGGTTCATATCTCCACTGAGACTTAAAAATAAGGCTGTATTTCCTTGGAGAGCTTTACTAGAATGAACAATGATATGGGAGCGGTCTGGGGAATGAAACCCTCTCTCCTGCCACACGCACTAGTGCAGTCCACTATGGAGAGAGGGGGGTGGATGGCAAAGCCCTATGGGAGGCATGTCAGGGGCTATTATAAGACCCTCCTTTTGTAATCTGAGCATTTAAACTTCTTGAGTCTCCCACTCCCCTAGTAATGTCATATATTGGGGCCTAGGAGATGGCAGATGTGATGTTATGTGAGTATGCCCAAGGCCACCACTAGTTGAGGGTCTGGGCTTTACTGACCTATCAAAGTTCAGTTTATCTTGGGGGATTTTTGTCTTG